CAATATATGGATATAATATTATCAAAATTGGGTGTTATATCGGATGTAGATCATTTTCTTGACATAAGGAAACTCCCCCAGGGGGCATGCCTCCAACCTCCATGCCCCCAACCCTAGTATTTAGGAGTTGATAATATGTAATTTGCTACATATAAGCACAAAATACTTTAAATAAACTATATATTTTATATTAATCCAATGTAGAAAACGTATCAAGTTAGCTAATTTATGATAATTTTAAAGTTCGTAGCACAAAAATTCGCGTAATAAATCTGATGCATATTACTTAATATATTACTTAATACATTAAATAAAAATTTTCATTGTCTAGTTTTTAAGGTAAATGAGGGTATTTTGACGAAGTTACCACTTCTTACTAATAAAAGTCTGTCAAAAACTTGAGTTTTTATTTTTTTGTTTTTGAACCATATAAATTTGAATCTGCTTTACAATATAAAAAAATAAAAACTCATGTTTTATATAAATTATATTATGATCTCTATGCAACAACAATTTTTAACTTCTCTGTGGGTATTATTTGGTAAATATGGTATCTTTTGACATTACAAGGAAATAGAGTTTTTTTTTAAAGTAAACTTGACTTCACTTACCAAGTAAAATTGTTCAACGTACTATCTTTTACTTACCCTCAACTTTTAGCAAAATTCGAATGACCTTTTTCTAATTGCTTTTTTCATTATATGTTTTGGCGCAGTAAATCAATTTTTGTGTGGAACATATAACGAAAAAACTTATTAATAAAAGGTTATTCGAATTGCACCAAAATTTGAATTTGAGGATAAGTAAAGATTGTATGTTAAACAATTTTACTTAGTAAGTGGAGTTAGGTTTACTTGAAAAAAAATCCTTTTCCTTGTAATATGTTCAATTTATCAAAATACCCACATTCGTCATAATACCCCCCACTTACCTTATATAGTTTAAAATTTTTAGTTCGTTATCGTTATGTGTCAGGGTTTATTATAAAAAAGTTCATTATAGAAAGCTTCGGTGTAGATGGATTTATAAATGAACCTTATTCATAACCAAATTAACACAAAAATAATTCAAATGAAGCAACAAAAAGATTGTAGAGTTCTAAAATATATCCCGATTAAATAACGTAAAGAACAAAACTCTTGACACAGTAAAGATTCGATATGGTGAAGATTTAATTTACGGAATTATTAAGCTAGATATAGATTCAACTTTCTTTATAACGAACATCTCTATAATGGACTCTGGAAATAAAGTAATAAATTTTTTAAATTTTATATTAATTTGGTATAACAGATAAAGAGTTATGGTTCTTAAGAAAATAATTTTATATAAAGAACTTTTTCTTAAGTCCAAACCCAGCGTTTGTTATGGAGAAAGTTGATTGTTTATAGTTTCTTTCGATATAGGCTGTAATAAATATTTTTTCTCAATCTGAGGATTTCACTATAACGAGAACGAGTTGTAATAAGTTGTAATAATGTTTATCGTTTTTTTTTACTTGTATTACAATTTACCTTAATACAGTAATTGAGATCAGGAGGTCGAGGCTCATGTGACCAGTGTTGGCAAATTATTGGATTGAATATCATAAAAATGTCATGAAAAATATTGTTGATTTTATAAAATTTACGAGTGATTTATTTGTTATAAAAAAGTCATATTTGTCATTTTGCCAACAGTAATCACTGTACAGACCAGACCAGACCAGACCAGACCATTACAGTACTGACCAAATCATCGTACCGTACTGAACATATGTATCCTCACACGAGTACCTTTGGTGCCGCAGCTCAAACACCTGCTTTTGGTCAATTTGGATTTTCGCAACAGGCCACGTCAAAGCCTTTAGCATTCGGTGGATTTGGTGCTAGCACTCAAATCACCCAACCGACCCCTTTTGGGTTGAGCGGTGGAACACAACCAACTCCTTCAAATATAGGAATATTTGGAGCCGGTAACGTAGGGCAGCAATCCACATCAAATGCATTTGGAAGTCTCTTTGGTGTAGGGTCACAATCAACCGCACCAATTGGTGGAAATCTTGGGCGACCAATATTGCCGGCATCTACAGGTAATATTATGTCATTTTAAATGAATACCATCTAGCTATTCTGTACTTATAGTTTAATTGGCCGGTAGCTTCTGTTTTCACTGGTAATGTAGCAGCAGGAAGTTCTAATGTTGGGATGTCCAGTTCTTTAAATCAGGTTGGATCGACCATTACCTCACAATCACAAACAAGTATGTTATAGAAATTTTTATCTAATTGTTTATATAATAATTTTTAAAATTTTCCGATTTATTATTGTAGCTCAACAATTAACACCTTATGAAGAATTATCTCGACTAATTAGTGCATGGAGTCCTGAAAGTATAGATTGCCGATTCCAAGTAATTATATACATTATTTTTATGCTATATATATATTCTATGTTATTATTTTGAATTACTAACTTTAATTGCCAATTTTTTTAGAGCTACTTTTATAATATGGTTCATCCAGCTGAAGTTCAATTTTATACCCAACCCTCCAGCATGCCCCAAGCACTTTGGAATGAGGCACAAGCAAATAATCCAGACAGGACAATGCAAGTCTAATTGTCAACACAATCGTTTCACATTAATATTATACTCAAGTAATTTTCATTAATAGTTTGGTTCCTGTTCGTGTCTGTGGATTTGAGGATGTCAAAAAACGACTTGCTGTACAAGAAGAAATAACAGCTAAAGCCAATGTAAAGTTTAAGGTATTAGGTAATTTGAAATTCAAATACAATCATTAAAAAGTAATCGCATTATTGATCCTAAGATTTAATAGGAATATGGTGCTAAACTCGAAGATATGAAGCGTAAGCATAATTTAGAAACTTTAGTGAGGATAGAAGATCGTAAACGAAAACATATTGAATTGACACAGAGAGTGATTAAGGTTGGTAATGAGATATTCGTTATGCTTACGGTATAAAAATTTAATGTTTTATATCAATAGCTTATGAGGCGAATTCAAGTGTTGCGATTAAGTGGAACACTAATTCGATCCGATGAAGAAGCTTTAAAAGGGCGATTAGAAGATATAAAGCAACAACTACAAAGGTCGTCAAGGAAGCTTGAAACACTCAAAACACAATATAATGTAACAAAATTACAATGGGGAGTTCGAGAACCACCAGTGACTCATAAATTTAATGCAGTAAATGATAATCAATTAGAAAATATTATAAAGGTAAGTGGATCATTTTTTTGTTATCTGAAAACATTAATAACCCATCTTAATTTTTGTTCATAATATTTAGGTGCTTGACACCGAACAAACAGGAATAGTTCATGATATTGAAACATTAAAAAAGGATTCTAAAGACATTGATGTTATTCTTCGCCACCTCAATGATGTTCCATAATAAACTAAGTTACTTGTGTTCGCAATTTGTAGTCAAAAAAAAAAGTTTTACATAACTCTCATCCTTACTATTAATTTCTATATACCTATATATTACAGTATTAATGATTACTAAATCTGTGTTGAAATAGGGTATTTCGTGAAAAATCGATAATTTAGAGTAGTATTTTAATATTCATAAAAATCATACCTATTATGGTATATATGTATAAATTTGTGAAGTTATAAGGACGAGCTGTGATATTTATATGCATTTTTTTTTTCACCGCGATTATTTTAAATTTTTTTTTTTTTTTGATGAAAACTACAAAAATTGCAAAGTGCAACTCGCATATAAAAAAAAATATACAAATATAGAAATCAAGAATTGACCTACAAACTTTTGTGGAAAAGGAATAATAGGCCCAAGGATATAGTCCATACAGTCAATGCTATCAATCATAAAAAAACGTGTTAAATTTTTATACCACCAGTCCCATTGAAATAATGATGTTAATCACAATATACAAAATGAGGCTCAAATATTCTCATAAATGTCCTGAAAACAAAATCTGAATAACCATTCACACGAAATAGTCAAGACAACTGCAGATGTACGCACGAAAAGACGAATTTTGTCAGAAACTATCTTAAAAGAAAGGGCCCATGGGACCTAATCCAGGTGTAGTAGTTGGAATAGCGTTATTATTGTTGACTTCATTTTCCCGAGATGGAACACCTATGCCTCGGCAGATAGGACATTTATTAGACCCCTCAGTTAGCCACTAAAAAAAAAAAAAATCAGAATTTATATCTGACAGACATGAATCAAAAAAAAAACTTATCCTGTGTTTTTTTTTTTAGAAAATAACTAACCTTGTCAATGCATTCCCGATGAAACCCGTGTCGACAATTTAGAACTCTTACTTCTTCATCTGTAACGTAATCGCACAAACAGACCTGGCACTTTTCGGCATTTCCCAAAAGAGTATATTCGCTAAGACCACGAATGCTTTCATTATATAATGCGACAGGTAAGTTTGCATCTATCTCACTTTGCGTAGTAGTCGGAGGTCGAGCTGGACCAATAAGAGACGATAACAGCACCATATCTTCATAAGTGGGATTATCAGAAAATAACGATGGAGTAGTTAGGAGAGGATGGGTAGAAGGATATGTACCACCTAAAACGTAAATAATCCATGATCGCGCAGGAGGTGTTTGAGTTCCAGTAGATGCGGTAGACCCAGGCACAGTTCTATTCGAAGTTGTTGAAGAGGATCGAGTCCTGGTAGATCGGTTTCCAGGCGAATTCCGTGTGTCAGTTGTTGAGTTATTGTTGATTTCGGGCTGTTGCGACGGTGGAAGGTTACTTGTAGGATCTTCTCTGGGAGGAACACTTCGGATGCCAATAATGATAACAGGAACCATATGTGGTCCATTATTTTCATTATTAGAAGATTCGTTTACTGTTGTGGATGAAGATTGATCTGATGTAATTTCGGTAGATGAGTTTTGTTGTGATGAAGAAGCACGAGGCCCACCAAATCGAAACAAACGGAAAAATGACATTGGCTGAGATGACTGTGGATTAGGTGTATTTCCATCAGATGAAACTTGTTCTTCAGATGTTGACGATGACGTTGTTTGGTTTGGAGGTCTGTTAGAAGCTTCACGGCGTCTTCTCTGCAAAGCAGCTAAAAAACTTTCGAAGCTTCCATCATGCCCCTCACTGGCAGCGCGTTCGGCTTCAATTACTGCATTTTCCTGACTTTCAACAAGTGATCTCGCTGTTGCTGCCGCTGCCATAGATAATAAACGGCCCAAAACCTGGTTTTCTGCATCATTATCTTCGTTATTATTATTAACATTATTGCTTTCAGTATCAGGTCCCCCCACATTAAATAATCTTCGTGCAGAAATTCGAGTTAATCTTCGTCTCAAACGTTGGGGAGATGCTGTCGAAGAATCTGTTTGAGTACCAGCGGTGGATGAATTTGGATTAGCATCAGATGCATTAGATAATGATGTTGTATACGATGAATATGGACGAGATGATGATCCTCGATTGGTGCTAGATCGACGTGGGCGATCAGAGATACGAAGATTTGATCTCATTATATCATCACCCAAATTACTATTTAGAATCACATCCACTGAATTAGAACGAGGACGCCGCACGTCAAACACTGTTTCTACCGTTGGCAATGAATGGCGATTGTTAGAATTATTAACTTCTAACCCATTAATTGTATCAGTATCATGTCCATTATAGCTAGAAGATCTTGTGCGACTTCGTCGTAACATATTGGGAGCTATTGCATCGGTTTGTCTGGGTGTTAACGACACATCATCGACTGAATTGTGATGAAGTCGTTGAAGACGGGTAAGTGGTCTGCTGAGCGGAACCTGTGTTTGATTAGTGGTTGTTGCAGAAGGAAAAAATGGATAAAGGCTGGAACAACGTAAGGCAGGGTATTATTCATATGAGGAGTTA